GCTTGTTTAGTAACCTCTGACTGTATTCGTCTTGGCCATAGAACACAGGTTCCATAGTATCTCTATGCATCATTTTAAATTCAATTTCATAGCCCGAATACAATTTGTATCCAAGTTCGTATAACCTCTTCAATTGTTTCCTAGCAACGTATCGTGGACACGCCTCCTGGGGAACACCGCCTTTCTTCCATCGAGACTCGCACAACATTTCAGCGACCTTGACTCCATCAGCAACCCAAGGGACTGGTCTCAGCGTGTCAGGGTCGGGGTAGCTCAACATGCTGCCAAAGTTGAACATCTTTGGGTGTTCTATGAAAACCTTTTCTGTTCTTGGACCGGCTAACAAGACCCCTGCAATGTGTAGATAAATAACATTACATGACAGCATTGGTTCAGAAGAACCCAGCATCTCAACAGTTCTTTACACAGCAAGAAGTACATTTACTTGAGACTTGACATTAATCTTGTATCAGTCCATGGAGCCACGAACGTCCATAAGGTGAGGCTCAAAGTGTTTTGTCCTCCATATCTATACTCTTTTGAGCTTATGTCCGCTCGCCTTTCACTTCAGGCATGGGTTGCAGAAGATCAATTCTAACCCGCATCTTCACGGGTTACGTATGGAAGGATGACAAAGAGGTATGTTTGGATAAACTTTCCAAATGTAAATGTAGTTTAGTTCACAATACTTAAATAGTTCTCTTGGTCTGACATGTTATTTTGTATGTTTTATAATGTACATTTATATGTCTGTTTTGTATGAAATGACCAATAACCAAATGTAATGTATTGTCATTCTGTCTTTTAAAAAGTATAACAATTTCATTTGTAATCTGTATTATGTCCTTTCACATGTTACGACCTTTGTGAGACCTACAAGCACGGCTATGGTCTTGACAAACCTACAAACATTCAGAGTGCGCGAGTACTCGAAACCAATATCAGATTTCTGGCATGCCTAAGCGAAACAGATGCATCCATTTATAAGACTGTACGACCAATGTCAAAACATTATGTATAATTCCTTCTGAAGAGCTTTTAAACACGTTAAAGTACAGGTTAATAAATATTCCGAATTTTATACAAAGTACACCATGGATGAATTTCTCTCTCGTGACAGGGCGGTTGTGTCAAGTTAATGTTATGTACTGATGAACTTAACAGAACCTCGACGTGTGTACCAACGGTATATTGCCAATCTACGGAACATTAATGTCCTTTTCAGTATTCATATTATCATCGAATGTCACCCACTATAGCACATGTGTTGCAGAAACTGATTCATCCTGGGTCGTCGATCCACTCGGTTTGTTTTGACCCCCTGTCCCAACACCCTGTCGTTTTGTCAGTTTGCTTTGCAGGGCTACGTTCCTGGAGCACTCCAGACAGTTCACAATCACCCACCTATATTATGTTTCAGTGTGAACGCCTTATTTCACACAAAACATCTGTGGCCTTGAATCGGCAATTCATGTCCAAAATGAAACAACGTACCCCAAGCCACATATCTACTTACATTTTCCCACGTAAGCTGCAGTACCTTACCACTGTTTTTCCTTTTCCATCCTAAAGTGTGTTGCTGATAACAGTGCCCCCAATACAAATTAGAACTGTGAGGTTGTCATTTTGAATGTTTTGATGAAACGATTATTGTCGTGGCATAACATGCTGTACCAGTTGTGACCGACACGTAATTGCTACATAAGGTGCACAGGTATTAATATATTCTGTGTTTACAAGCAGCATTTGAACCAAATACACACAGAGACAGCTTGTACAACTGGAGAGTCCCAAGGATAAATATTTGATGATATCAGAAGACGGGATGCCAACATAACTGATGATTGTCTCGAGAGTTCTGTCCTACAGGGGTGCAACATGACAGGTGTCCTCTTCGGGGGTGGCCTTCTCGGATCTGTACCTGAGGCCCAATCCTAGTGTTATCTTGCCCAAAGTGCCATGGTATTTATACCTACTTAGAGCAGGAGACCGATGTCCTCAGCTGACCTCCCATGTTAGTTCGGCCACAAGGGTAACAAGCTTTAAATCATCCTCTCACTTCGTCCTGTCCTTCCTTAGAGGTCTGAAATGTCATTCTTGATTATAATGAGGCGTGTGGCAGCTTTACTACTTTATAAAAGTTTAGGAAATTAGCAAACCTTTATGATGGGCAAGGTGTAAATGGGCCTAGTTGCCCGAACGCCTATTAAACTCTCAAAAATCAATCATCAATTAGAGCTCAGTAGGTGGGGTAACCTACTGTTTAAAGCGCTCGCTCGTCACGACAAAGACCCGGGTTCGATTACCTGCACGGCACAATGCGTGAAGCACATTTCTGGTGTCCGCCACCATGTTATTGCTGAAATATTGCTAAAAGTGGTGTAAAATCATACCCTCTCACTCACTTAAAGGTCACATGCAACGTAAAACACAACTTTGCAGATTCTGATACCTTTCGGTATGGACGTACCGAAACAAATTGTCAAAAATGCAAATTCAACTTATAAAGTTAAAAAATAACGCGATTAAAAAAAATGCGCGAAATCGGAGTTCAAACGTTTCACTAATTTTCCCCCGACTTTTCTGGGGAAAACGGGTTACAACAGCTGGGCTGCGCTCATAGCACGTGCGCAGTGAAATCGGTTCGCGCAGCTTGGAAGCGGGTTGTCGGGTGAATACTCGGTGAAGGCTTTGGTGTGAGCTATTTTTCTAATGTTTTGTTGATATCTCACAGGCGCGAGCTTTTTATATGTTATGACAGTAAATTAACTGTTTATATAATTTCATTTGTCTATTTCACCACACGTTCTTCTTACCGAGTCACTTTCTCAGTTCGATACTTAAAAGCAATGTCATTATTTAGCGTTGTACAGAATTTCTAACTGTGATATAGATATGTCGTTGTCACAGACAAAACTCAACGTCTTGTTTTATTGACACCTGTGTGTCTGCCTGCCTGTCTGACAATATTCAATACACAGCTGCTATCACTGACCACATGCAATTTGAACTTAACACCAATCAGGCTATACACCATAAACAAAATGCATTGATTTATTGCCCGAGTTTGGTCTCTGTCACATTATGTAATTACACAGACAGGCAGGTGTGATACTTGAACACATGACATGTTATGATGTCTGTTAATTGCAAAATGTTATACACAAAAAATGAGCATGTATTTACAAAACCCAACATCTCTATATATACATGTACACACACACAATGAGCCGTGAAGGCATCTGCAAAGGAACCAGCCGTTACACTTGAGTGCACACCCACCCGCTCTGACTGGGTTCGGTATCCCGGCTGCTTCGTTTCTTGGGAAGTAAACCGAAGTACACAGTTTTGCACTTTTGATTTGCGATTGTACGCTTATAATTTTGTTTATATGTTTTTTCATTACCAGCAATGTATATTATATGTCATGAATAAGTGATAATTGTGTTTTAATTATGTTTGATTTTTTGGTTGCATGTGATCTTTAATGCTCTTGCTCAATAGAGGAATAATCTTGGCAACCACTAAGACAGTTCTTGAGTGCACGAGACAATGTGATCGCATCACATGGATGACATACGCACTAATGATAGTTGAATTTTTCTTTCGATCTTTTCTGACAATGAATTTGTTTTCGTTATTTTTTAACCTTTCAGTATTTGGCAGTTACATTCATAGTCACGGGTGATCAAAAACATTATTGGTTACGTGTTTGTTGTCATTATGATTTACGTGTCAACGGACATTGTTTCATTAAACATGTATTCATGCAAAAGTGTCCCTTTCACAATATGTATCACCTTTAATATGATGACCCGAATCAAACTTTGAGTAGTATAAATCTGTAGGCATGAAAGTCACTAAACATGCTCTTTTGATGTAAATAGGGACAAACACTTTGTTTTTGCCCATATAGTTGTTTTGTTTTGTTTTTTATTTCCAGCAGAAGGAATGGTACATGGTTTGAATATATTATAATTAAAGCAATCAAAAAGTCTTTCAATGATAAGAAATCAATAATCAATAAAGTCACGGTGTTTATGAATCAGTATTCAACACCGATCATCATCGAGTAGCCATTTCGTTTCAAGAAAATAACAACATTGTTTCTCCTTCCTATATTGTTCATTACTACTATATGTGTCAATGACGCTTCTAAAGCTAATGCCCGCCGTGATGTTGCTGGAATATTGCTAAAACCGGCGTAAAACCAAACTCAGTCAGTCACTCAGTCTTAAGCTAATATGGAATCCTTATTGCTACATATGTAGAAATGTCTGATTCAGATAGAATTGTCCTCTTACCAACGACAATGTAATTTTTCCATAAAAAATATCCACGGATGGCATAAATCTCTAAAGCAGTTTGGTGCGGTGGGGTAGTCTAATGGGAAAAGCGTCCGCTCGTCATGCTGAAAACCATGGTTCGATTCAATGGGTACAATGTGTGAAGACCATTTCTGGTGTCCCCTGCCGTGATATTGCTGGAATACTGCTAAAAGCGGCGTAAAACCATACTCACTCACCCTACAGCTGTTCGTGCGTGCATGGTTTCAAGTTTAGAGGATGTCCCCCCTTCTTGTGTCAATATTAAGAGATGGACAATATCAGGAGGGGAAAAGAAAACTATGAAGATGGTCAACAATTAAGAAGACCTTCAACTCCCACCAATAACGAGCTTTTGTTTTTTTGCAAAACGCCACACGCAGCAATATTCTAGCTATAGGACCTGAACAACAATTCAGTGATCAACAGGAGGACATCCATCTGCAATTGGGATACAATGACGTTTGTGGGTGGTGGTGGAGATGTTGCAACACAGCATCACCACGTCGGCAGAAAATGACTGTGTGAGTTCATTGAATATTTGTTTTACAGAACAGGGTATTGACATAAAACACATCATGAATGAATTAAAAACAACAGCATAGGTTCAAATTAAGCTTTTACAGATCGGAAAAAGAGAAGAAACTAAGGTATTTACTAAACGTACTATCGGTATTTTTCTGACACATTATAACTACAGTGAGACAGACAATAAGTTGTATCACAAGTTTCTTGCGAGAAACAGTAATGCCATATTCCTTCAATTTTGTATCATAGAAAATACACCTCTTTCTCTAAAGCAAATCGTTCCTCGTCAGTCTCCAAGTCCTTATACTTGGCTATCTCCCCATCTCTCTTGCATTTCACGAACCACGCCACCAGTTCACTGCCCAGGGCATCTACCAATGCCTCATCCCGTTCCAGTTCCTCAAGAGCTTCAGATAGGGTGCTGGGCAGGTTCTCTGTCTTTTCTGTCTTTCCCGGCGGTGGACACTCCAGTTTGTTGATGACACCGTCCAGCCCTGCAGCAATGGTAGACGCCACAATGAGGTAAGGGTTGCTCTTTCCACTGGGAAGTCTGTTTTCGATGTATGTACCAGAAGGACCGTCATTCTTGATTCGGAAACAGGACTCACGATCTTCTATACCCCAGAATATTGCTGAAGGGAAAAAAGGGCTGATGAAGTCGCCTGTAGCAGTTGACGGTGGGGCTGGTAAAAGCGCACAGTGCCTTACTGTGTTTCATGATGCCAGCAATCCACTGCTTTGCCATAACAGATAGATTATCAGGAGCGTCAGCATCATAGAAAAGGCTGTCTCCAGATTGGTTCCAAAGTGAAAAATTGAAATGGGCACCAATTCCTGTTGGTTTGTTGTCCAGTTCCGGTTTCGACATGAAGGTGATAACTACATCTTTCACATCTGACATCTCCATGAGGCCCTGTTTCATATTTAGGACCATATCTGGGCACTCTATGCCATACTTCGGTTTGGTCACAGCTTCAAACAGTCCAGAACCAAACTCAGGATGATACCGCTCAACATCAATGTTAGATTCCTTTAAGTTTTTGTCAAAGTGAAGTAAAGTTCTGCATTGCTTGTTTAGTAACCTCTGGCTGTATTCGTCTTGGCCATAGAACACAGGTTCCATAGTATCTCTATGCATCATTTTAAATTCAATTTCATAGCCCGAATACAATTTGTATCCAAGTTCATCTAACCTCTTCAATTGTTTCCTAGCAACGTATCGTGGACACGCCTCCTGGAGAACACCGCCTTTCTTCCATCGAGACTCGCACAACATTTCAGCGACCTTGACTCCATCAGCAACCCAAGGGACTGGTCTCAGCGTGTCAGGGTCGGGGTAGCTCAACATGCTGCCAAAGTTGAACATCTTTGAGTGATCTATGAAAACCTTTTCTGTTCGTGGACCGGCTAACAAGACCCCTGCAATGTGTAGATAAATAACATTACATGACAGCATTGAAACCATGGACCACGTGGGGATTCGGGTGGTTCAGAAGAACCCAGCATCTCAACAGTTCTTTACACAGCAAGAAGTACATTTACTTGAAATTTGACATTAACCTTGTATGAGTCCATGGAGCCACGAACGTCCATAAGGTGAGGTTCAAAGTGTTTTGTCCTCCATATTTATACTCTTCTGAGCTTATGTCCGTTCGCCTTTCACTTCAAGCATGGGTTGCAGAAGATCAATTCTAACCCGCATCTTCACGGGTTACGTATGCAAGGATGACAAAGAGGTATGTTTGGATCAACTTTCAAAATGTAAATATAGTTTAGGTCACAATGTTTAAATATTTCTATTGGTTTGACATGTTATTTTGTTTTCTTTATAATGTACATTTATATGTCTGTTTTGTATGAAGGGACCAATAACCAAATGTAATGTATTGTCATTCTGTCTTTTAAAAAGTATAACAATTTCATTTGTAATCTGTATCATGTCCTTCCACATGTTTACTACCTTGGTGAGACCTACAGGCACAGCTATGGTGTTGACAAACCTACAAACGTTCAGAGTGCCCAGGTATTCCAAACCAATATCAGATTTCTGGCATGCCTAAGCGATACAGATGCGTCCATTTATAAGACTGTACGACCAATGTCAAAACATTATGTATAATTCCTTCTGAAGATTTTTTAAACATGTTAAAGTACAGGTGAATAAATATTCCGAATTTTATACAAAGTACACCATGGATGAATTTCTCTTTCGTGACAGGGCGGTTGTGTCAAGTTAATGTTATGTACTGATGAAGTTAACAGAATCTCGACGGCTGTACCAAAGGTCTATCGCCAATCTCGGAAACATTAATGTCCCTTTCAGTATTAATATTCATCGAATGTCACTCTCTATAGCACATGTGTTGCAGGAACTGAAGCATCCTTGGTCGTTGATTCAGCGCTCTCGGTGTGTCGGTTGACGAGGGATCCACTCGGTTTGTTTTGACCCCCTGTTCCCTCACCCTTTTTTTCAGTCTGCTATGCAGAGCAAACAGAACAGACAGTTCACAATCACCCACACACACACCCAAACCCACACACCTATATTATGTTTCTACCTGTGAAGGTACGGGTTAGAATATTGATCTTCAGTAGCCCATGCTTGTCGTAAGAGGCAACTAAAGGGATCGGGTGGTCAGGCTCGCTGACTTGGTTGACACATGTCATCGGTTCCCAACATGCTGTACCATGTAGCTGACACGTAACGACACGTAATTGCTATATAAGGTGCACGGTGTTATATTCTGTGTTTACAGGCAGCATTGGAACCAAATACACACAGAGACAGCTTGTACAACTGGAGAATCCCAAGCATAAAAATCTGATGATATCAGAAGACTTCGGGATGCCAATGTAACTGATGATTGTCCCGAGAGTTCTGTCCTAAAGGGGTGCAACATGACAGGTGTCCTCTTCGGGAGTGGCCTTCTGGATCTGTACCTGAGGCCCAATCCTAGTGTTATCTTGCCCAACGTGCCAAGGTATTTATACCTACTTAGAGCAGGAGACCGATGTCCTCAGCTGACCTCCCATGTTAGTTCGGCCACAAGGGTAACAAGCTTCAAATCATCCTCTCACTTCGCCCTGTCCTTCCTTAGAGGTCTGAAATGTCATTCTTGATTATAATGAGGTGTGTGGCAGCTTTACTACTTTATAAAAGTTTAGAAAATTAGCAAACCTTTATGATGGGCAAGGTGTTAATGGGCCTAGTTGCCGAATGCCTATAAAACTCTCAAAAATCAATCTCCAATTAGAGCTCTTGCGGGACAGTGGGGTAGCCTACTGTTTAAAGCGCTCGCTCGTCACGACAAAGACCCGGCTTCGATTACCTGCACGGCACAATGCGTGAAGCCCATTTCTGGTGTCCGCCACCATGTTATTGCTGAAATATTGCTAAAAGTGGTGTAAAACCGTACCCTCCCACTCAACCCTTCCTTGCTCAATAGAGGAATAATCTTGGCAACCACTAAGACAGTTCTTGAGTGCACGAGACAATGTGATCGCATCACATGGATGAAATACGCACTAATGATAGTTGAATTTTTCTTTCGATCTTTTCTGACAATGAATTTGTTTTCGTTAGCTTTTGACCTTTCAGTATTTGGCAGTTACATTCATAGTCACGGGTGATCACAAACATTACTGGCTACGTGTTTGTTGTCATTATGATTTACGTGTCAAGGACATTTTTTCATTAAACATGTCTTCACGCAATAGTGTCCCTTTCACAATATGTATAACCTTTAATATGATGACCCGAATCAAACTTTGAGTAGTATAAATCTGTAGGCATGAAAGTCACTAAACATGCTCTTTTGATGTAAATAGGGACAAACACTTTGTTTTTGCCCATATAGTTGTTTTGTTTTTTATTTCCAGCAGAAGCAATGGTACATGGTTTGAATATATTATAATCAAAGCAATCAAAAAGTCTTTCAATGATAAGAAATCAATAATCAATAAAGTCACGGTGTTTATGAATCAGCATTCAACACCGATCAACATCGAGTAGCCATTTCGTTTCAAGCATAATAACAACATTGTTTCTCCTTCCTATATTGTTCATTACTACTATATGTGTCAATGACGCTTCTAAAGCTAATGCCCGCCGTGATGTTGCTGGAATATTGCTAAAACCGGCGTAAAACCAAACTCAGTCAGTCACTCAGTCTAAAGCTAATGTGGAATCCTTATTGCTACATATGTAGAAATGTCTGATTCAGATAGAATTGTCCTCTTACCAACGACAATGTAATTTTTCATGAAAAATATCCACGGAAGGCATAAATCTCTAAAGCAGTTTGGTGTGGTGGGGTAGTCTAATGGGAAAAGCGTCCGCTCGTCATGCTGAAAACCTGGGTTCGATTCAATGGGTACAATGTGTGAAGACCATTTCTGGTGTCCCCTGCCGTGATATTGCTGGAATACTGCTAAAAGCGACGTAAAACCATACTCACTCACCCTACAGCTGTTCGTGCGTGCATGGTTTCAAGTTTAGAGGATGTCCCCCCTTCTTGTGTCAATATTAAGAGATGGACAATATCAGGAGGGGAAGAGAAAACTATGAAGATGGTCAACAATTAAGGATACCTTCAACTCCCACCAATAACGTGCTTTGGTTTTTTTGCAAAACGCCACACGCAGCAATATTCTAGCTATAGGACCTGAACAACAATTCAGTGATCAACAGGAGGACATCCATCTGCAATTGGGATACAATGACGTTTGTGGGTGGTGGTGGAGATGTTGCAACACAGCATCACCACGTCGGCAGAAAATGACTGTGTGAGTTCATTGAATATTTGTTTTACAGAACAGGGTATTGACATAAAACATATCATGAATGAATTAAAAACAACAGCATAGGTTCGAATTAAGCTTTTACAGATCGGAAAAAGAGAAGAAACTAAGGTATTTACTAAACGTACTATCGGTATTTTTCTGACACATTATAACTACAGTGAGACAGACAATAAGTTGTATCACAAGTTTCTTGCGAGAAACAGTAATGCCATATTCCTTCAATTTTGTATCATAGAAAATACACCTCTTTCTCTAAAGCAAATCGTTCCTCGTCAGTCTCCAAGTCCTTATACTTGGCTATCTCCCCATCTCTCTTGCATTTCACGAACCACGCCACCAGTTCACTGCCCAGGGCATCTACCAATGCCTCATCCCGTTCCAGTTCCTCAAGAGCTTCAGATAGGGCGCTGGGCAGGTTCTCTGTCTTTTCTGTCTTTCCCGGCGGTGGACACTCCAGTTTGTTGATGACACCGTCCAGCCCTGCAGCAATGGTAGACGCCACAATGAGGTAAGGGTTGCTCTTTCCACTGGGAAGTCTGTTTTCGATGTATGTACCAGAAGGACCGTCATTCTTGATTCGGAAACAGGACTCACGATCTTCTATACCCCAGAATATTGCTGAAGGGAAAAAGGGCTGATGAAGTCGCCTGTAGCAGTTGACGGTGGGGCTGGTAAAAGCGCACAGTGCCTTACTGTGTTTCATGATGCCAGCAATCCACTGCTTTGCCATAACAGATAGATTATCAGGAGCGTCAGCATCATAGAAAAGGCTGTCTCCAGATTGGTTCCAAAGTGAAAAATTGAAATGGGCACCAATTCCTGTTGGTTTGTTGTCCAGTTCCGGTTTCGACATGAAGGTGATAACTACATCTTTCACATCTGACATCTCCATGAGGCCCTGTTTCAAGTTTAAGACCATATCTGGGCACTCTATGCCATACTTTGGTTTGGTCACAGCTTCAAACAGTCCAGAACCAAACTCAGGATGATACCGCTCAACATCAATGTTAGATTCCTTTAAGTTTTTGTCAAAGTGAAGTAAAGTTCTGCATTGCTTGTTTAGTAACCTCTGGCTGTATGCGTCTTGGCCATAGAACACAGGTTCCATAGTATCTCTATGCATCATTTTAAATTCAATTTCATAGCCCGAATACAATTTGTATCCAAGTTCGTCTAACCTCTTCAATTGTTTCCTAGTAACGTATCGTGGACACGCCTCCTGGGGAACACCGCCTTTCTTCCATCGAGACTCGCACAACATTTCAGCGACCTTGACCCCGTCAGCAACCCAAGGGACTGGTCTCAGCGTGTCAGGGTCGGGGTAGCTCAACATGCTGCCAAAGTTGAACATCTTTGGGTGTTCTATGAAAACCTTTTCCGTTCTTGGACCAGCCAACAAGACCCCTGCAATGTGTAGATCAATAACATTATATGACAGCATTGAAACCATGGACCACGTGGGAACTCAGGTGGTTCAGAAGATTCAGTCGTCCAACAATCTGATTCATTTAAGCCGCATGTGTTGACTTGGGGACCAGTCCGGAATCACTGTGGGGCATTTTAATAAGGAGTATCGTTACCTCATTTATTAGCAAATGACAGCAGTAGGGATGTTTATGACCTGTGAATTACTCGGGAACCCGCTGAGCCAGTTGTATTCCCAATTACTTCAAGAGTCAGAAACCAATTTACCTCATCCTACAACTTACATTCCAGCTTGCCTTATTTGTCGTCGGCTAAGGGGTATTTCTAGTTACCAAGAACCCAGAGATGTTCTGTTATAGACGCTGTCATCGACTATGAAATTCCTGAGGAACTGTGCCCCTTGTGGCGGTCCTATGAGAACGGGAAGGACGACTGGTTACTGAATACATCCCTGTAACGATGTGAGTGAGTGAATTTAGTTTTACGTCGCTTTTAGCAATATTCAAGCAATGTGGATGGGGGATGTCATGAAAAGAAAAGACTGTCTTGTTTTGTCCTCATCATACTGACCGCACATCGTTACAGCAGGGGCGGTGGGGTAGCCCAGTGGCTAAAGCATTCGCTCGTCACGCCGAAGACACGGGTTCGATTCCCTACATGGGTACAATGTGTGAAGCCCATTTCTGGTGTCCCCCGCCGCGGTATTGCTGGAATATTGCTAAAAGCAGCGTAAAACCATACTCACTCACTCACTCACAACTGGTAGTCTAGATCACGTACTATGCGTACCCCTCTGACAAGTGTACATTGGCACTGCTCCCAAGGCCGAAGCTATGAATGCTTTTCGCAAAAGGTCAAATGCAACAGATGTTATATTTGGCATTACGCCATTACGGCTGAGTGGGTTAGATCGCGGAACACCTCAAGTTAAACCTGCTATCGGCGAAACCATATTTGCAGTCACGTATCCAGTTTCGTGCCCGTGTTGAATATGCAATGAGGCACCGACTTAAGTGTAACCATTGTCACAGCCTGATATCTGATATACAATTTGTATGTACTTTATATAAACCGACATCACAACCTCTGTCTAAGACAATATAAGTTGTTCACTGGTCACGAGGGGGGCATGGGTTGATGTACCCTCGATGTTTGTTTATGTTCCCTGAGCCCGAAGGTCGAGGGGAACATAAGCAAACATCAGGGTACATCAACCCATGGGTCCCGAATGTTAATTTTGAATTGTTTGAAGCACGGGTACAAATCTTTTTAAACCCATCACTAGATTTTGCTGACAAAAAATCAGATTCACACTATTTCCCTTCCATTTACATTCGCAAAACATCGGTAATTTCCGTACATCATAAGTGATTCAATGTTATTCGAGATGAAGAATTACTACCACGAAGTACCAAATGAGTTGCCACTGACAGCGGGGTACATTGAAATGTTACTCGCTTGTAAGCGGGGTACATTGAAAATAATAGAAGAGCGCTCAGCCAATCAGAAAGCGACATTTATGTGTGAGGTAAGATAATATTTCTTTAAATACACTGACATGATAGAAATGAAACTATTTCTCCACATACACCAATACAACAAACTAACTCTACCTGACAAACTATTAAGTTACGAGGGACTATCAAAAAGTTTTGAGCCTAAAATACTTCTGATATGTACATGATAAAAATGACTGCATGATATTGAAGAATGGTTTCTATCATTCACATAAACATAAATTGACATGCACACTCACTAGTTTCCGGTCACGTGACATCTTATCACATGTAGCCCTATTGATAGCCGCTCGTACATACATCCACATCAAAATCTCGGCAGTGGCAGCATTACTTTACATGTACTTACTTTACAATCGCTAATTTGTACAGAAGAACTATATGCGCTGTGACATCAATTCTAAAGTGGGCATATACAACTACACACCGACATCACAGCCTCGACAGTGAACATGTTTACTTTCTATACGCCAACATCACAACCACGACATGGACATTATTAGATTATATATACCGGCAGTCTCGGCAGCAGACATTACTTAATATACGCCGACATCACAAGCTCCAGATTCAACATTCTTAACTTACATCAAGCATTATCGCATTACACACTCCGACATCACAAACTCGACATCAAGCATCGTTACATTACTGACTGACTGACTGACTGACTGACTGAGTTTGGTTTTACGCCGCTTTTAGCAATATTCCAGCAACATCAGGGCGGGGGACACCAGAAATGGGCTTCACACATTGTACCCATGTAGGGATTCGAACCCGGGTCTTCGGCGTGACGAGCCAACGTTTTAACCACTAGGCTACCCCACCGCCCCTCGTTACATTACAAAATCCGCCATCACAAACTCCACACCAAGCATCGTTACATTACATACTCCGACATCACAAACTCGACATCAAGCATTGTTACATTACATACTCCGACATCACAAACTCGACATCAAGCATTGTTACATTACATACTCCGACATCACAAACTCGACATCAAGCATTGTTACATTAATACTCCGACATCACAAACTCTGCATCAAACATCGTTACATTACATACTCCGACATCACAAACTCGACATCAAGCATTGTTACATTACATACTCCGACATCACAAACTCGACATCAAGCATTGTTACATTACATACTCCGACATCACAAACTCGACATCAAGCATTGTTACATTAATACTCCGACATCACAAACTCTGCATCAAACATCGTTACATTACATACTCCGACATCACAAACTCGACATCAAGCATTGTTACATTAATACTCCGACATCACAAACTCGACATCAAGCATTCTTACATTACATACTCCGACATCACAAACTCGACATCAAGCATTGTTACATTAATACTCCGACATCACAAACTCGACACCAAACATCGTTACATTACATACTCCGACATCATAAACTCGACACCAAACATTGTTACATTACATACTCCAACTTCAAATATTGTTACATTACATACTCCGACATCACAAACTCGACATCAAGCATTGTTACATTACATACTCCGACATCACAAACTCGACATCAAACATTGTTACATTACATACTCCGACATCACAAACTCGACATCAAGCATCCTTACATTACATAGTCCGACATCACAAACTCGACATCAAGCATTGTTACATTACATACTCCGACATCACAAACTCGACACCAAACATTGTTACATTACATACTCCGACTTCAAATATTGTTACATTACATACTCACCATCAAGCATCGTTCCATTACATAATCCAACATCACAAACTCGACATCAAACATCGTTACATTACATACTCCGATATCACAAACTTGACATCAAACATTGTTATATTACATACTCCGACATCACAAACTCGACATCAAGCATTCTTACATTACATAATCCGACATCACAAACTCGACATCAAGAATTGTTACATCACATACTCCGACATCACAAACTCGACATCAAGCATCCTTACGTTACATACTCCGACATCACAAACTTGACATCAAACATCGTTACATTACATAATCAGACATCACAAACTCTACATCAAACATCGTTACATTACACACTCCGGCATCACAAACTCAACATCAAACATCGTTACATCACACACTCCGACATCACAAACTCGACATCAAACATCGTTACATTACACACTCAGACATCACAAACTCGACATCAAACAATGTTACATTACATAATCCGACATTACAAACTCGACATCAAACATCGTTACATTACAGACACCGACATCACAAACTTGACATCGAACATCGTTACATTACATACTCCGACATCACAAACTCGACATCAAGCATCGTTACATTACACAGTCCGACATCACAAACTCGACATCAAACAATGTTACATTACATAATCCGTCATCGCAAACTCGACATCAAACATCGTTATATTACGTACTCCGATATCACAAACTCGACATCAAACATCATTACTTTACATACTCCGACAAACCAGTGAAGATCCGGGTTAGAATAATTATTGGTTTTCAGTAACCCATGCTTATCGTAACCCAATTTGCTGCATTGATGGTCTTGAAATTAGTTGCATCGCTTTGGTTATGGCTGAAAGTTGAAGCCAATCAAATTCTATAGTATGACCAGAAATTATTGAGAATTTTAGGAATATGTTTAATTGGATTTCTAGTATAAACAACCTTGACCAGCTATCCAGTGCTTGGTTTCATTCAAGAGAGACAACTGTGTTAATCCTTTTTCATTAGTTTGTGAAGAGTTATCCCCTTTTGTTTACTTGCTGGCAGACGACATTTTCAGTGATCCTCAGTATGGATGATTTAGAGAAGAGGAAGTTGATTTTAGAGTATTATAACAAAGACATCAGATCAGCTAAAGTGATTTAAAGTAGAACATGCATCCCTTTGGCCACTGTTTATCGTGTTTTGGAAAATATTGCAAATGGATATGGCATTGAGCACCAGGGAGGCGCAGGTAAACCCAGAAAATTGACTGTCGGTGACAGGAGGCGGCTTGGTATTCTTGTTTCTAAAAACAAACGAAGGAGTTTAGAAAACTTAAGGCTGGATATAATTGATAGAGGAACTGTGGCTGTCTGTAAGGAGACAATTAGAACTGAGCTGCATGCAGTGGGTTGGCAGAAATGTCGAGGAATTCCATCCCCGATCATGAAACCTGAACAAAGGGAGCGAAGGTTGAACTGGTGCTTACAGCATAGAAAGTTTAACTGGGACAATGTGATTTTCTCAGATGAAAAGTCTGTGTGACTGTTTCCTAATACACTGAAATTCTGGACCAAACAAACTGAAAAAAACTTTGTATCAGCGCCCAAAGCACAGTCCGAAATTTAACGTTTGGGGTGGCATATCTGTGTTAGGGGCAACGCCCCTCTGTGTATTTGAAGGGAATATGAACAGTGAGCGGTACACAGATATTCTCGAGGGGCATTTACTTCCATCTGCTCACGTGTTCTATGGAAATTTTTGGATTATCCAGCAGGACAACGACCAAAACATCGTTCAAAGCATTCACAGGCCTGGTTTCGGACCCAAAATATGACATTATGATTGACCAAGCTATAGCCCTGACCTAAATCCAAAAGAAAATGTTTGGGGACTTATGAAGGAAAGTGTCAATAAGACAATTCTGACAAATATTGCTGAAATGAAAGAAGAGGTGGTCCGATATTGGGACAGTATGGACCACGACTTTCTAACTTCTTTGATCAGTAGTATGCCCCGCCGCATTGAAGCCTGCATTGCTGCCCATGGTGACTTGACAAAATACTAACTGTTCACCTGTCTTTGAATCAGGAGTTATGTTCTGCTAATATTCACATTTAATACGTGAGTAATGAGTGAAAAAAAAAATTACAATCTTTATATTCTCAATAATTTCTGGTTGTACTGTATTTGTTAAAAGTATCGAAAACAAAATACCTGGGTGTGTATATCGGCTATGTCATATATAATTCCAATTGAAAGGGCGAACACGATCAGTTGATGGTTGTTTGCCGTGAACTGTACGTCGATCCTTGTGAAGATGTGACGGATACACAGTACAGCTACACTTGGGCTTGGTAAGTAGGTCAGAGGTATTTGAACAACCTGGGGGAATTTGAAAGGTCATGGTGTGGTGCAGTAGTGGTATGGTTAATACTGGCCGTAATACTCGTTGGTGTATCTCATCTGTTCATCAGGAGAGCAACTGATTACATCAACAATAACACACTTAATGATCTACTGGTTTACTGTTGTGAGTGAGTGAGTTTAGTTTTACGCCGCGTTTAGCAATACTCCAGTAATATCACGTCGGGAGACACCAGAAATGGGCTTCAAACACTGTACCCAAGTGGGGAATCAAACCTGTGTCTTTGGATGTGGGTGCATATATAGAGAATACTACACGAGGTCTCATTATAGGTCAGATTCCATAGGAAGGTCACGAGTTTCGTATAATTCGTATGTACTGAGACCGAGTGTGGTATTTTATTTATTACCCGCGTCTTACATGCATTAAATTGACAAAATAGCGTAGTTTTGGTATTGTTGTGGTTTCAAACCGAAACCGGTTTCATAAAGAGGTTGCGAAAGAATTTTGTTCTGACGTACACTTTTGCATGACGTCACACTGTATTGCCGTCACTCGTCTGTCCCCTTGGTTACCGACGTCACGATACATGTCAGTTGTCATCGCCTCTCGTACAGCCTCCTACAATAAACTACTCCGTAGCACCCCGTTCCTTGGTTTGCAACTGCTTCACTCGGCTAACATCACTGGTGGAAACATTGCGTTTATGTTTTTCGACGGATATAACGTCTCAGTTCGACTCACAATTAAATAGCGACACGGCAACGTTCGCAATGTTTACATTCCCACAATGCATCTAAGTTGTAAAATGAATGAATTCACGTATTTGTTATGAATGAACAAGTAGTTCCGTCACAACGAGACCTAACTGAGAGCACACTCCGGCGCAGCGATGACTGTGGCAGAGATACTATGCTGGCTTGCCGCATGGAACTCTGGGTAGGAGAGTGAACTGAGAGGTCATCGGTTATCCAATCAAATCGTTAGAATCTCAGGTCATTTCATATACCCGACTTCATAATCTCGACAGTACTGCTTCATATACCCGACTCCACAACCTCGATATCCAACAACATTATTTCATATACCCGACTTAACAACCTAAACGTCTAACAGCATTATTTCATGTACCCGACTCCACAACCTCGATATCCAACCTTATTTCATATACCCGACTTAACAAACTAAACGTCTAACAGCACCATTTCATATACCCGACTCCACAACCTCGATATCCAACATTATTCCATATACCCGACTTAACAACCTAAACGTCTAACAGCATTATTTCATGTACCCGACTCCACAACCTCGATATCCAACATTATTTCATATACCTGACTTAACAATCTCAACTTTCATCAGCATTATGTCATATTCATGATATCACAATCTCGACATCCAACAGCATTATTTCATATACCCGACCTCACAACCTAAACATCTAGCAGCATTATTTCATATACCCGACTTCACAACCTCCACATGAAACACTATTACTTTGTATGCCCGTCATTACAACCTCAGGCTCAACGATGCACACCCTACACCAACTACAGCGACGTCGGGTGTGTAAAGCAGGTGATTTGCTGCCTTACCTTCAAACAAGTTGAGCCCGTTTTCCAAGTAACTCGCTGCATGGCGTCCCGCAACCAGCTGACCGCGATACGTGCCGTTCAGGTCGCACAGAGACAGCCGGACGTAGTCGTATTTGGCTATTTCTTTCTTGACCTCTTCTAGCTTTGACATTGTCACTTTGATGAGAAAACCGATTAACTGCAGTGTTGTAGAATGTCCCTCAGTTTTGCTACAAATGGAAAGGCGCACGTTCAGATGGTTTACCGTCGTTTACCGTCTTCAGCGATTACTGTACGTCGATCCGTCACACGAGACGGTGCACAGTACACTCGTCCACAGCACAGATAAGTTCGGGCACGTTAAGTAGGTCAGAGTTATATATTGTAAGGCTGAACACACAGGGGGATTCGAAATGTCATAGTGTGGTGCAATAGTGGTGCTGACCCATGGGTAATACGGCCGCTAACTCGTTTTGGTGTAACAGGTCATTCCACCAATGATGACATTAACTATGACGCAAAGTGCTCTACATGCATAATCTTGTGAGTGAGTGAGTGAGTGAGTTTTTCACAGCGCATCGGCAATACTGTAGCCATATCGCGATGAAAGCATGCTGACTACAACTAAAAGTATGTCCACAAAGGACAGTAAAACAGAATGTTCAGTGTCACAGTTTAGGTATAAAACAAAAAAACATCTCATTAAAAATATTAATTTCTTATATAATATATATAAAAAACAGGCTATATATAGACTCATGTGAATGAGGACGACTACAAAGTGAACGGCAAACCCTCAATATCTTTCCAATTTATTACGACCAGTTTGATTTGTTGTTTTTAATTCACGGGGATTTACGAAATTGAGAGCCGAGTATCTCACCTATACCTCCTTGCTGAGCGTCAGTTCAACGTAGTTCTACGAGACTTACCGTTTCGAGTCCATGAAAAATTATTCAAAAACAGAAATAATATAGATGGTAACAATATTTTAAAATTAAACGATAAAGATAATCTGTAATATTTCGGAGTGGCTTAAGATTGTGTCATTTTTTTGTTTTGTTATTTAATGCTCAACGTCTTAAAGAAGGTAATGACAGTACAGACAGTGGAGATGCAATATATAAGGCTCTGGCTATGTTCATATAGGTTCATCCTCGTCTACCCACCACCCTGAACAGATTAGGAAGGAGTAGTGGTCATGGGTAAGTGATTCTACTGTTCACTGTGAAATGTAATCCTAGTGGAATCATGTAAAATATCATGTATAAATAAATATGTTCGCTATATATTCTGTCACAGTCATTTCATAAATTCCAAAGCTTACAAGACCAAATAACACAGTAACCAATATAACACAGTGACCAACTGGCGCGGGGGCCAAGAGTGTGTGTGACCAAATTTCACAGGGAACAAAATACAAAGCGCACCTTTGTTCTTATCGCGCTCCACTGATCTGGAATTCCAAAACAAAAGCTGCTGGGTGAACGAGTGTAGCGACCAGAACTGGGATACGACCAGAACTGGGATAAACAGTCCACAATTTCGTAAAACCCTATTTACTGCAGTACTGCTCCCGGTTAACTCTAAAACTTAAGGCGATCTATGCGCGGAATATGATTTAGTTAATGTTTTTGTGAGGAGACACTGAAAATTATCAGTTACATATTTCCATATTCCTCTGCAAATATGTAGCTCACATTTAATTTTCCAATATAGGTTGGAAGAACCTTAAGAGTTTCTAATTATTTTTGTACTCGCCAGTTATTCAATCGTTTATATCGTGTGGCAATTCCCACTCAAGCAAACCTCTCATGGTGTATGACGTTTCATTTTCATTAACTTTGTTGTTTTATAATGCAAGCATCATGTAATTTACATCACGTAATAAATATCATATAATCGGCCACGTTAATGGAAATAATTCAAACACCCTATTGTGTTCTGAAATAATTCTGATTTTGTCGTAATAAGCTATGTAACTGTGAAAACATTTCCGTATTCAGGTGTTTGTGACCGAATTTGCTGCATTTTAAATGATCCTTTACTTTAAATTGGTTGCATAGTTCAGCTGTATTGGGTACGGCTCAAAGCTGAAGCCAAACAAATCACATTTGGGACCGTTTATAATTTATAGCTTGGGGTGCGGGGGGTGATGATGATTTTAGGGGGGTCACCCATTTTGTTCTGGGGAGGTAGAAGGGACATCTATTTTGTACACAAATACTAGGGTTGGTGTGTGTGTGTGTGTGTGTGTGTGTGTGTGTGTGTGTGTGTGTGTGTGTGTGTGTGTGTGTGGGTGGGTGGGTGGGTGGGTGGGTGGGTGGGTGAGTGAGTGAGTGAGTGAGTGAGTGAGTGAGTGAGAGAGTGAGAGAGAGAGAGAGAGAGAGAGAGAGAGAGAGAGAGAGAGATGTTTTGTACATGACAAAATTTAAAAACGATGCTTAAACATTATGGGAATAGTGAGGGGCCTGGTAGGGCGGTCATTGATTTTGTACTTTACATGCTGCATGGGGGTGTCACATACTTTGTACATAAATTGTAAAGGGAGTGGGTCGCTCACGTTGCACATGCTTATCATTCAGGCTGAAAGGCAAAGGGGATGTGTCGGATATATAACTTCCATCACAATGAAAAAAGGAGGGAAGGGCGTATGTCGGATATATCAACAGAAGAGGCCAAACCTTTTCCACGTCCATAAGTAATCTCTACTAAAAGCAGAGTCGAATGTACAATTCTGACTATATCATGAGCATGTATTTGTTTCAGCAGTATTACAGGTGTGCAATGTTGTTGGTAAACAGTCATTGATTGTCATCATACGACATCACACAGAATGAAAGTTGGGAAGGGTATACATGTACATCGGATATATAACTTACACCACACAGAATAAAAGGCGGGAAGTGTATATCGGATATATAACTTACACCTCACAGAATGAAAGGCGGGAAGGGTCTATCGGATATATAACTTACACCTCACAGAATGAAAGTCGGGAAGGGTATATCGGATATAAAACTAATCCCCACAGAATGAAAGACGGGAACGGTATATCGGATAAAGAAAGTAAGCAACACAGAATGAAAGACGGGAAGGGTATATCGGTTATATAACTTACACCATACAGAATAAAAGTCGGGAAGGGTATATCGGATATATAACTTACACCATACAGAATAAAAGTCGGCAAGGGTATATCGGATATATAACTTACACCTCACAGAATGAAAGGCGGGAAGGGTATATCAGATACATGTATATACATTACACCATACAGAATAAAGGGCGGGAAGGGTATATCGGATATATAACTTACACCTCACAGAATAAAAAGCGGGAAGGGTATATCGGATATATAACTTACACTTCACAGAATGAAAGTCGGGAAGGGTATATCGGATATATAACTTACACCTCACAGAATAAAAGGCGGGAAGGGTATATCGGATATATAACTTACACCATACAGAATAAAAGGCAGGAAGGGTATATCGGATATAAAACTAACCCTCACAGAATGAAAGACGGGAACGGTATATCGGATAAAAAAAGTAAGCCACACAGAATGAAAGACGGGAAGGGTATATCGGTTATATAACTTACACCATACAGAATAAAAGGCGGGAAGGGTATTTCGGATATATAACTTACACTTCACAGCATAAAAGGCGGGAAGGGTATATCAGATATATAACTTACACCATACAGAATAAAAGGCGGGAAGGGTATATCGGATATATAACTTACACTTCACAGAATAAAAGGCGGGAAGGGTATATCAGATATATAACTTACACCTCACAGAATAAAAGGCGGGAAGGGTATATCGGATATATAACTTACACCATACAGAATAAAAGGCGGGAAGGGTATATCGGATATAAAACTAACCCCCACAGAATGAAAGACGGGAACGGTATATCGGATAAAAAAAGTAAGCCACACAGAATGAAAGACGGGAAGGGTATATCGGATATATAACTTACACCATACAGAATAAAAGTCGAGAAGGGTATATCGGATATAAAACTACCCCCAACAGAATGAAAGACGGGAAGGGTATATCGGATATAAAACTAACCCACACAGAATGAAAGACGGGAGAGGTTTTACATCGGCTATGTTCTATTCATTCAGACTGAAGGTGAGGGCGGGTGTGCATAACATGTTTAATATATACTCATGCCAATAATGGTTGTCACCCCCCTCCCACCCCAACCCCACCCCAAACACACCCTCTCTCCAATTAAAAAAACTGAAGGGGGTGACAACCATTATTGGCATGAGTATATTACAAGTCAGTGTGCGAACTGGTTTCCAAATTTTGTTACCCAGTCGGGCTACCTATGCCTGAAAGTTACTAGCCCACACAATAATTCACTAGCCAGAAATTTGAATGTAGAAACTGAGCAAAAGATTGCAAAAATAGATGAGAATAAGATAATGTCGGCATGGCAAGGGTTTCATCATTAATCTGCTGATATGACGAACACTTTTGTCAGACCATAATCTCGCATGATTCAAAAGTTTAATTATAACTTAACAAGTCGGAGAGAGTGAACATGACCCCGTGAATTGGGTGTGGGATGGGTGGGGGCGGGCGGGGAAGAGAATGGTTTCTTTAGTTGTATTGGATATGCTACATTATGCATGCAAATGCAAGTCACATATATCTTCATAGCTGCTTAACAACCTGCAACATTTATTGGTGTTTGACACAACCTACCTACTGTGTGTGTGTGTGTGTGTGTGCGTGCGTGCGTACGTGTGTGTGTGTGTAGTTATAACTATCTTATTCACTTTTATATTTTATTTATACCATCAAGTAATTAGTGTCTCGTAGGCCAACTGGCCGGGTGCTCTTTTTAACGTATCATACTATATCTATACATTTTGTACCACAGCATGTGACACTTTGAGAAAATAATTTCTTCTTCTTCTTCTGGCGAGGTGGGGTAGCCTAGTGGTTAAGGCGCCGAAGACCCTGTTGGCTGTGATATTGCTGGAATATTGCTAAAAGTGGCATAAAACCATACTCACTCACTCGCTCTTCTTCTTAAGTGCCTTAATCATAAGCGCAAGCTCACACACCATTCACTTTAGACATATATACGTGCTGGTATTTCTATGACCGAACCCATTTATAGGCATTTTTCTACCATCTATTACTGAACATTCCTATGGTTGATGATTTGCACTGGATATAAGCTGGATATCCCATATATTTCCACATACCTGCTCTGATCTGCATAACAAATATTTTATTGAAGAATACCAAGCAGTCCGAACTACTCATTATCACTATTCTTTCACAATGTATAGATTTCTATATTGTAAGAGAAACAATTAAAATCACATCCAGGACCTACACTTTTACCGAATATCTTAAGATATTCATTATCAGTAACATATGTGCCACTATGCTGCTTCATGTCATACCCAAATATATTCAGCCTTGAAGGGTATCTGACAAAAAAAGAATCTTAAATATAGTAAGCAATAAATACATAATGCTGGTCTACTAATGTTTCATTAATTATTATGTGCATTACATACGAAAATATGCCATATCTTAAAAGCTATACATTTCACTGCATTAAGATAGAATAACATTTGTCCCACCTGTCCTTGTGCACATGGGTGATCCAATGCTTTGTACTCTTGGCCTATGACCTCTGTTACTGAATAAATTTCTTGTTCTTGTTCTATTTTTATTGTTCTTTAATACATAAGATTTGAAGAAATCAGCTTTAGAATGGAATGCATTTAAAATATTGTATAGAATGAAATGAATGTTATTTCCACAGAAAACATCCAGAATTTTCCTTAATTGTTTGTGATTGAGCACACAGTACATGACATTGTTGTTCATTTTAACAATGAAATACTACTCAAAAGTGGTTTTGTTTTGGAAGCTGCATCATAGGTATGTCATACCATTAGCCATGAGGAAGTTAATGGTCATGATAGTCATGGAATATAAGAAACTTTAGACTTGTGCTGCAGTCTAAGAGCTCAATACTTCATGCATATTCCTATAACGTATTAAGATTGTTAGATAGGTTAGGAAATGGCAAGCATTACTTTTCATAATTACGTACCGTTCCCATCTTCAGTTATAACTGCACACTTATAACTACATGTATATTATTCATGATTTTTCTTCATTGCTTTGTTCTTGACAAACAAGTGATAAAAACCCACATATATAATATATTTTAATTCATTTTATCAAATTTAACTACCAAAATCACTGGATTGCTGAACATGTCAGTCTATCAAACAAAACTTTTCAAGGTAAGAGCTTACTCCACAGTCCTTCTTAAATTTACTTTCGTCCAATAGTATACATATTAATCCAAATTCATACTTAATACCTTAATGGGTCACACTTTAACTTTTCAACATATTGTATACATAGGTTAAAATCAGGACAACATTATCTGTTAACATGCATTGCAACAATTAAGAAATTACCTAACCATATACATTCCCATCCAAATTCATTTACAGATTTACAAATTATTTTACAAATATTATTATTTCTCCCACAAAATGTCCTATAAGAGATAACCACCTTGCTCAAATAAACAATAGGTTCTCACACCTTTCATAGAGTCAGTTCCTCCTTGGAATTATTGTTTCAACAATCTGGTGAGCAGCAGCAGATCTGAACAGACAGCTACTCAGTAGCAATTAGGGAAGCATCTCGTGACATGTTGATGGCAAGTCTGCACAGTCAGTGCTAACTCAAGCTGGTCTCTATTCACTTGATTCAGCCATTAACAGACAGTTTTAACCAATTCTACTTTCACCAATTCAGTTCAAGCAAGTCTAGAAACAGACAAACACTCATATCCAAAGATGATGGCAATTCATTGATTATAATCAACCTTTGATATACTAGTATAGTACATATCATCTCTCAAATACTGGAATTTGTTTTCTGCAATACATATTACAATGTTTGCAGCAAAAGTGAAATACAACCCAGATATGACACTGTATAATTGTATAACTGAACTCATTTGAACACAATGAAATGTGACTGTTTCTTATAGTACATCTACATAACATAGCATTCATGTGTAAGGAAAGCATCTTCTTTATTGGGGAGGTAACATGTAAAAGGTGAGCATGTGTTTGGTGTAACAGATATGCTTTGGTATACACCAAAATGTACTGTGCATGGTTGGCGGTATTAACATACTAGTAGGTAACATGTAATATATTCATCTCACCTTGGCGTTATCAGAAACCATATAATATATTATATGGTCTCTGATGTTATGTAACAAAACACTCTAAAATGTTTCGATTTCAAGATTATATTAACAAAGTATTAAAGTGATGTAAAAGAATTCCACACACACACGACTTTAAGTAGCTAATTAAACTCCTATATATACATGAGACACCTAAACCAAACTGATCACCCAATGGGAACAACATTTGTGTTTGCTCTTAATTCTTGCACAGTTACTGTCATGTCAGAAATGAATCTGTATTCCCAATTACCCAATCACAGCTGCTGTAAAATGCCACCAAATTAGGCTGTGAACTGTTTGCACCACTTCCTCCCTCAGATGCCAAGACCCCCCTCCCTCCTCTACCCATCCCCAGTGTCAGTGTCAGTGTCTAACTGGTAACTAGTTGAGGGTTGTTGGAATTAATTAAGAGTGTAAGAACATTTGACCTCTGGGTTTATAACCAAAGGTTTTTAACAATACCTTTATCAGATTGTACAATGTTTCCTTCATGAACAATTATCATAGTACAGGCACTGATATAGAAATAACTTCAAAGAAGAAGAAAGAGAAGAATGGCCATCTTCACCTGAATGTTAACACATATAGGTAAGTTAATATTTCATTTAAATACTACCAGATTTATGACCACTGACTGAACTGTTCTGTAATATCAGCCTTCAATGATAAAAATACTGTAATTTACCATTTCTTGCAATTTTTCAATTAATTTTTGTGTTGGATTGTTCCACACTGTTATACATTCCTTTTGAAGGAAGTCTTATTGGTATACTTATTATCATAATTCTATGTATCATTGTTGTTATTAAGTAATTATATATATGGATGGAATTTCAATGAAATTTGTATGAGAAACTCTGTCAATGAAGTCGATTTATCCTTGGCATTATCCAGTTAAAAGGACAAAGGTGGGGAATGAAGATCTATTGAAGGTTTGAGATTATCTCTTACAAATGTATACATATTTTCAAAGGATGACCCCATGTGTTTTCAAGAATTTGATAATAGTATATACATGTAGTAACATGGGGCTTGAAATTTAGTTTTTGACCCCTCAACTGATTTAGGAAATTACAACACTGTATAAATATTCCAGAAGCTAAATGAACTGGAATCTTATGACCCTAAACTATGCTTGAAGTGAAATGAAACATTAAATGTTACACTTGAAATATAAAAGAAAATACATATAAATTTATCAAGGAATTATGTGTTCCCAAACCTGATATGAGTGATATGGAAAATGACCTTTCAGATACATTGATGATTTATTGAAGCGATTTAAAGAAAACTTTCATTGAGCAAAGAAATAATTATTACAGAATTTCAAAACAGTATTAGAAAACTTTAGAAGTATCAATGAAGGCATGTTATCAAGTCTTTAAAATATATACTATATCTTGGAGAAACAACACAGAAGATGAGATACACAGAAAACTGATATGACATAGAATGCAATAGTAGAATGAGAAAAATATCCAAGAACATCTCACATCAAAAGAAACTCAATTAGATGATGATACGCTACACAATATTTAGAAGCAATCCTAATGAATACTAATAAGGTTCCTGGGGTGAGAACAATATCCAACGATTCATAAATTCTATGAACATATCCTAAGAAACTGAAGTTACAGTCCTCGACTTTACCCACCAGTCTAATAGCTAAGTCTGGTAAAATTTGTTCTTATCAAGTAAGAGCACACAAACTTCCAGTCCATAAAGTGAGACAAAAATGCTGAAAAATAATGCCAATTTACATTTTCAGTCCAGCAAACTTGAGAGACTTTAGCACAGACTGCAAGTACAGTAACCAAAGTTAAAGGGTGCCAAGAAACAGATATATCACTCATCTAGCATAACATTTTAAGAGCTATTTTTCTGTACTGTAGACTGAATAATGTTATCCTCCTTGACATGAAAAAATATTCTATGTATATGATGAAATTGAATCTAAAAGTTTTGATTCAAGTAATAGAAAATAGCAGTGTTCCAACTTCAGAAACTATGCAAGTTCAAAAGAGCATTCTTTGAGAACAAGGTAAGTTACATGGGATGAATAACAATATAGATATTGTTTACTCTTTTAGCATTATACAGTGTCATAATGTCACAAGTTTATAGGAGTTGTTTCTACACAGTGTTCACTGTTCTTTCTCTATGAGAAGTGAATCTTGTCATGTACCGAATAGAACTTAATACAGGAAACTTCTGGTAAGAAAATCTAACATGTCTAGCCTGTTCCCATATCCTTGTTCCATGTGATTTCTGCATTGATGTGTAGTTATGTAACAGACTAAACCCAAGAAGTTCTCAACAAGCCTAAAGTTAAATGCACATTCATATATTTTTTCCTTTGATGGCATTCGTTAACATAACTAAATGAAACTGCCATTCCTATTTATTCTTACAAATTTTCATGGTTTATAAAGAAATCAGGTAATTAGTAAGTCAATGTTTCTTCAACCTCACGCCTATGTGTACAATGTGTACTCTCCTTACAGTGGCCACGGAAATGGGTGCGAGGAGAGAGTCACACAATGTTTCTCAGAGATATCTGTATCAGGGAGTAAAGGCAGGTTGCATCCTGTTTACATACATGTAAAGGGAAACTGAACAGTTAATGATAAGATACAGTGCATGAGTGAGAGAGATGTTAAGTTTAATGTTACACTGGTATGTCCCAAATACCAGTTTGGTAAATATATGTTTCCATATAGCTAAAATTCTCTTCTCTCTCCAATCCACTCTGCTGGCTCTCATCCAGCTCCACTCCACTCACTCCACTCTCCCCTCCTCCCACTCCACTTAAATCCAGTCATTCCCTCCACCCGCTATTACACTACTCTCACTACACCTTCTTCAGTCCTTTCGACTCACTCGCTCCAGTCCCTCCGTCCTCACTCTGCTCCCTCTTCCCTCCTTTCAGCTCAGCTCCGGTCCACCCACTACACTCTCTCACCCTCTTTCCTGGTTCACTCTGCTCCATCCACTACACCCCCTCTTCCTCCTCACTCTCACTCCATGACTCACTCCACTGCTCCACCCACTACTCTCACTGCCCTCTCCGCTCACTCGACTACTCCCTCTTCTCTCCACTGCACCCTCTTCCCTCAGCTCACTCGGCTCCACCACTCACTCACTGTCTCCTCTCCTCGACTCCTCCTACACCCTGCCTTCACTCACTTTCGCTCCTCACTCCACTCACACTCCACCCACTGCTCTCGCTGCACCCTCTTCCCAGCTTGCTCCTCGGCTCAGTCCTCCACCCTCCTTCTCTCACTACACCCTCTCGGCTCCGGTCACTCCGCCCACTCGGCTGCTCTCACTACACCCTCTTCCTCGCTCAGCTCACTCCACGGCTCCACCACCATTCTCTCCTTTCCACTCGGCTGCTCTCACTCCTTCCTCTTCACTACACCCTCTTCCCCTCAGCTCCGCTCTCCTCGGCTCAGTCCTCCCGCCCACTATACTACTCTCCACCACACCTCTTCCTTGCTTCCTTCCAGTCACTCCACCCTCCTTCTCTCTCCACCACACCCTCTTCCCTTGCTCCTCTCCTCGGCCTCCTCCACTCTCCACTCCCTCAACTCACCAGCTCCAGTCCTCCACTTCTCTCCTTTCCACTTCCCTTTACTGAATTTCTCCACTCCACTACTCTCCACTACCCACTTCCTTCCTTCCTCACTCCACTCCACCTTCCTCCCACCCCTTCCACTCCATTTCCATCCAGTCCACTCCACCACTACTCTCTCCACCCTTCCTTCCACTCCATTTCACTCTCCTCCAGTCCACTCCATGTCCACTCCACTTCTCTGCCTCTTCCTCCTCTTCCTCCTTCCCTCCGCTCCACTCCACTCCACCTTCTTCCTCCACCCCTCCTTCCTCCACTCATTTTCCAGTGGGCTCCGGTCCACTCCACGGCCACTCACCTCTTCCTCCTTCCTTTCCAGTCCACTCCACACTCCTCCACTCACCTCTTCCTCCACCAGTCCTTCACTCACGCCTCTTCCACTCACTCCACTCCATTCCTTCACTCTCTTCCGGCTCTCACTCCATTTCAGGTCCTCCACCCATTGCTCTCACACCTCTTCCTTGCTCGGTCCACTCCACCCTCACTCCCTCTCACACTCCTCTTCCTTGGCTCCACTCACTCCACCCACTCAGCTGCCTCTCCCTCTTCCCTTGCTCCACTCACTCGGCTCAGTCCACTCCACCCCTCGGCTGCTCTCACTGCACCCTCTTCCTTGCTCTCCTCACTCCACGCCCTCTGCTCTCACTGCACCCCTCTTCCCTTGCTCCACTCACTGCTCCAGTCCTCCACCCACTATGCTGCACTCACTGCACCCTCTTCCCTCCACCACCCCACTCCTCTCAGGTCAGCTCCGCTCAGCAACTCAGCTCGGCTTCTCTCGCTCGCTCACTCACTCACTCGTTCCCCAGCCATCCGCGTGCTCACTCGTTTCCTTGCTGACCCACTCCTCCTCCACTCGGCTCTTGTTCAGTCCACTCCATTTTGCAGCTGCCGTTCAAGGTTATTCAAAGTGCTTTCCATGGTTTTCAGTATGTTGGTGGCCATTTTTTCTTGTGGATTTTTTTATGTAGTTAGTTAATTGCAGGCATGGTTGCATTGATTATGTCTTTCTGTTTTCTTTACCAGTTGCAACACCACACCACACCTTTGTGCGAGTGGCAATTGAAGAAGCATGTCGTTTTCTGATTGAGGGGATTCAAGGAACCTGGATTACAAGCATCTCAACAATGAAGTTCAGAAATGGAGTCCATCCCAAGTGTTTGTGACCTGTGTTGGGTTTTGATGGAGGGACAGAAGGGCAGAAGGCTTATGTTAATTTCTAACTTATGTAACTGGAAAAGTGTAAATGGAGGGAATGACTGTTAAAATGACTTTTAAAGCTTTGCAGATGCCATATCTTCATTATGTTTTTCACAGTTACCATGTGCAGGATTTACATGTAAAGAAATGGACATAAACTAAGCAAATTTCTTTTTATTCATTTATATCTTGTGAGAGTTTAATGGAATTTCAAGAAGTTTCCTCTTGGCTGATGATTACTAGTACAAAAGCATTTCAAAATATCACAAGCAAAGTTATGGATGTACTGGGTCAATAATTCAAATTTTCAGAGATTTGTAACTATTATTATTAATCCACATGCCTTTGACCAGGGGGTGGGATAATGCCTTTAAAACCTACAGTTTATGGAATTTCAAAGTTTTCTTGGCTGATGATAGTAAATAGCATTTCAAACTTACAAGTAAATTATGAATGTACTGGGTCAATAATTCAAATGTTCAGAGATTTTTAGCTATTATTATTATTAATCACATGCATTTGACCACAAATGGGATAATGCCTTTAAAATTTCAAACCTACAGTTTATGGGAATATTTCAAAGAATTTTCTTGGCTGATGATAGTACAAATGGCATTTCAAACCTACAAGTAAAATTATGATAGATGTACTAGGTCAATAAATTCAATTTTACAGAGATTTTTTAACTATTATTATTAATCCGTGCCTTTGACCACAAATGGGATAATGCCTTTAAAACCTACAGTTTATGGAATTTCAAGAAGTTTTCTTGGCTGATGATAGTAAATGAGTATTTCAAACCTGTGAAAGCAAATTAGGAATGAACTGGGTCAATAGTTCAAATTTTCAGAGATATTTAACTATATTTATTAATCACATGCATTTGACCACAAATGGGATAATGCGTTTAAAATCTACAGTTTATAGAATTTCAAGATATTATCAGGGCTGATGATAGGAAATAGCATTTCCAACATGTGAGCAACTTATGAATGTACTGGGTCTATAATTCTATTTTACAGAGATTTTTAACTATTATTATTAATCCGTGCCTTTGACCAGAAGTGGGATAATGTCTTTAAAACCTACAGTTTATGGAATTTCAAGAAGCTGTCTGGGCTGATGATAGGAAATTGCATTTCAAACTTACAAGTAAATTATGAATGTACTGGGTTAATAATTCTATTTTACAGAGATTTTTAACTATTATTATTAATCAGCGTGCCTTTGACCAGAAGTGGGATAATGCCTTTAAAACCTACAGTTTATAGAATTTCAAGAAGTTTCCTTGGCTGATGATAGTAAATAGCATTTCAAACTTTACAAGTAAATTATGAATGTACTAGGTCAATAATTCAATTTTACAGAGATTTTTAACTATTATTATTAATCACGTGCCTTTGACCACAAATGGGATAATGCCTTTAAAACACCACAGTTTATGGAATTTCAAGAAGTTTTCTTGGCTGATGATAGTAAATAGCATTTCAAACTTACAAGCAACTTATGAATATACTGGGTCAATAATTCAAATGTTCAGAGATTGTTAACTATTATTATTAATCACATGCATTTGACCACAAATGGGATAATGCCTTTAAAACCTACAGTTTATGGAATTTCAAGAAGTTTTCTTGGCTGATGATAGTAAATAGTATTTCAAACCTGTGAGCAAATTAGGAATGAACTGGGTCAATAGTTCAAATTTTCAGAGATATTTAACTATATTTATTAATCACATGCATTTGACCACAAATGGGATAATGCGTTTAAAATCTACATTTATAGAATTTCAAGATATTATCAGGGCTGATGATAGGAAATAGCATTTCCAACATGTGAGCAACTTATGAATGTACTGGGTCTATAATTCTATTTTACAGAGATTTTTAACTATTATTATTAATCCGTGCCTTTGACCAGAAGTGGGATAATGTCTCTAAAACCTACAGTTTATGGAATTTCAAGAAGTTGTCTTGGCTGATGATAGGACATTGCATTTCAAACTTACAAGTAAATTATGAATGTACTGGGTTAATAATTCTATTTTACAGAGATTTTTAACTATTATTATTAATCGCGTGCCTTTGACCAGAAGTGGGATAATGCCTTTAAAACCTACAGTTTATAGAATTTCAAGAAGTTTTCTTGGTTGATGATAGGAAATAGCATTTCAAACTTACAAGTAAATTATGAATGTACTGGGTCTATAATTCAAATGTACAGAGATTTTAACTATTATTATTAATCACGTGCCTTTGACCACAAATGGGATAATGCCTTTTAAAACCTACAGTTTATGGAATTTCAAGAGTTTTCTTGGCTGATGATAGTAAATAGCATTTCAAACTTACAAGCAACTTATGAATATACTGGGTCAATAATTCAAATGTTCAGAGATTTGTTAACTATTATTATTAATCACATGCATTTTGACCACAAATGGGATAATGCCTTTAAAACCTACAGTTTATGGAATTTCAAGAAGTTTTCTTGGCTGATGATAGTAAATAGCATTTCAAACCTACAAAGTAAATTATGAATGTACTAGGTCAATAATTCAATTTTACAGAGATTTTTAACTATTATTATTAATCACATGCATTTGACCACAAATGGGATAATGCCTTTAAAACCCACAGTTTATGGAATTTCAAGAAGTTTTCTTGGCTGATGATAGTAAATAGTATTTCAAACCTGTGAGCAAATTAGGAATGAACTGGGTCAATAGTTCAAATTTTTCAGAGATATTTAACTATATTTATTAATCACATGCATTTGACCACAAATGGGATAATGCGTTTAAAAATCTACAGTTTATAGAATTTCAAGATATTATCAGGGCTGATGATAGGAAATAGCATTTCCAACATGTGAGCAACTTATGAATGTACTGGGTCTATAATTCTATTTTACAGAGATTTTTAACTATTATTATTAATCACGTGCCTTTGACCAGAAGTGGGATAATGTCTTTAAAACCTACAGTTTATGGAATTTCAAGAGGTTTTCTTGGCTGATGATAGGAAATTGCATTTCAAACTTACAAGTAAATTATGAATGTACTGGGTTAATAATTCTATTTTACAGAGATTTTCAACTATTATTATTAATCGCGTGCCTTTGACCAGAAGTGGGATAATGCCTTTAAAACCTACAGTTTATAGAATTTCAAGAAGTTTCCTTGGCTGATGATAGTAAATAGCATTTCAAACCTACAAGTAAATTATGAATGTACTAGGTCAATAATTCAATTTTACAGAGATTTTAACTATTATTATTAATCACGTGCATTTGACCACAAATGGGATAATGCCTTTAAAACCTACAGTTTATGGAATTTCAAGAAGTTTTCTTGGCTGATGATAGGAAATAGCATTTCAAACTTACAAGCAACTTATGAATGTACTGGGTCAATAATTCAATTGTTCAGAGATTTTTAACTATTATTATTAATCACGTGCCTTTGACCACAAATGGGATAATGCCTTTAAAACCTACAGTTTATGGAATTTCAAGAAGTTTTCTTGGCTGATGATAGTAAAATAGCATTTCAAACTTACATGAGCAAATTATGAATGTACTGGGTCAATAATTCAAATTTACAGAGATTTTTAACTATTATTATTAATCGTGCCTTTGACCACAAATGGGATAATGCCTTTAAAACCTACAGTTTATAGAATTTCAAGAAGTTTTCTTGGCTGATGATAGTAAATAGCATTTCAAACTTACAAGCAACTTATGAATATACTGGGTCAATAATTCAAATGTTCAGAGATTGTTAACTATTATTATTAATCACATGCATTTGACCACAAATGGGATAATGCCTTTAAAACCTACAGTTTATGGAATTTCAAAGAAGTTTTCTTGGCTGATGATAGTAAATAGTATTTCAAACCTGTGAGCAAATTAGGAATGAACTGGGTCAATAGTTCAAATTTTCAGAGATATTTAACTATATTTATTAATCACATGCATTTGACCACAAATGGGATAATGCGTTTAAAATCTACAGTTTATAGAATTTCAAGATATTATCAGGGCTGATGATAGGAAATAGCATTTCCAACATGTGAGCAACTTATGAATGTACTGGGTCTATAATTCTATTTTACAGAGATTTTTAACTATTATTATTAATCACGTGCCTTTGACCAGAAGTGGGATAATGTCTCTAAAACCTACAGTTTATGGAATTTCAAGAAGTTGTCTTGGCTGATGATAGGACATTGCATTTCAAACTTACAAGTAAATTATGAATGTACTGGGTTAATAATTCTATTTTACAGAGATTTTTAACTATTATTATTAATCGCGTGCCTTTGACCAGAAGTGGGATAATGCCTTTAAAACCTACAGTTTATAGAATTTCAAGAAGTTTCCTTGGCTGATGATAGTAAATAGCATTTCAAACTTACAAGCAACTTATGAATATACTGGGTCAATAATTCAAATGTTCAGAGATTGTTAACTATTATTATTAATCACATGCATTTGACCACAAATGGGATAATGCCTTTAAAACCTACAGTTTATGGAATTTCAAGAAGTTTTCTTGGCTGATGATAGTAAATAGTATTTCAAACCTGTGAGCAAATTAGGAATGAACTGGGTCAATAGTTCAAATTTTTCAGAGATATTTAACTATATTTATTAATCACATGCATTTGACCACAAATGGGATAATGCGTTTAAAATCTACAGTTTATAGAATTTCAAGATATTATCAGGGCTGATGATAGGAAATAGCATTTCCAACATGTGAGCAACTTATGAATGTACTGGGTCTATAATTCTATTTTACAGAGATTTTTAACTATTATTATTAATCACGTGCCTTTGACCAGAAGTGGGATAATG